TACCCCTAGACTACGGAGGCCGCTTAGGCTGAAACTAAGTTTCTGCCTCGTGCCATGGCAGTACACACCAGCTCCAGTGCCCTTATTTGTCTTGGAACCATCTGTATACCAGATCAGTCCCCCTTCTCTATCAGGCCGAAACCCGTCTTCCCATTCACTCCTGTCAGGAAATCTGACTGTGAAGGATTTTTCATATACATGTCTCAGTATCATTTTGTTTGACCCCATTTGTAGTATGGGTTCTTTTTTCGTGTCCTGAGTTATGTATGCATGCATGGCCAAAACCATCAGATCTATGTTTCCATTGTCCACTGCACTGCAGATGGTAAATTCCTGCCCTAGCCTCTGCATCCAACTGTACATGCAGTGGGGGGAGTCCAAGGAGTATCTCCAGTGCAGCTGTTGGAGATGTTTGAAATGCTCCTGTGATACCTAAGCAAGCCAACCTTTGCAATTTGCTAAGTTCTGTCTTGCTTGTCTTGAGTTTAACTCTGGGCCACCATACTGTGGCACCATAAGTAATTATGGGTCTCACAACCGCAGTGTATATCCAATGTATAACGTGTGGCTGCAGTCCCCAAGTTTTACCAAACATGCTTCTGCATGTCCAAAAAGCCTTATAGGCTTTGTTAATGACTTTGTCCAGGTGTTTTTTCCATGTCAGTCCCTTGTCTAATTCTAGACCAAGGTACCTGACATTGCTGGAGACCTGGATTGTCTTACTGAAGAGGGTCAGTTCCTTAAGGCCCTTTATATTTCTCTTCCTAGTAAACGGTATAATTACCATCTTGTTAGGATTGATGGAAAGACCTGTTCTTTCACACCATTGACGGACCATGTAAAGAGCTGTTTGAAGATGCTCTGATATGGTTGAAAGGAATTTTCCATTTATGAGGATTGCTATGTCATCAGCATATCCTACTGTATAATACCCATGATCATATCCTACTGTATAATACCCATCATCATTAAGTCCCCACAGGAGATCGTCGATGACCAGACTCCACAGCAGAGGTGAAAGTACGAGGGGGTACCCAAAAGAAACCGAACTTATTTTTTTTTAAACTTATTTATTCAAATTTTAAGCACAAACCTTCAATCCCCTTCAAAGTACTCTCCACTTACACTAATACACTTGTCTAGTCTTTTATTCCATTTTTCAAAACATTGTCTAAATTCATCTTTTGAGATGCTTGACAGCGCCTCCGTCGTTTTTTCCTTCACCTCAGCAACATCAGCAAAACGCTTTCCTTTCATGTCTCTTTTCATTCGAGGAAACAAAAAAAAGTTTTGATCATTTCGGGAC